ATATTGAGATGAACTTCAGGTGAGACACATCACTGATGAGCCTCAAAGAGAGATGTCCAGCCTGTCCACCACTCCCCAAACTCCACCGGCCTCCAATAAACAGCAAGAATGGCTGAGAGTATCCCAACAGGAATTCCCAAGCAGTTGCCAGCACCACTAGACTGCTACATCTCTTTCTAATGGCACATTTCCACTGCAGCGCGTAGCACGGTTTAAGCGTGTCGTGCCAAACCCAGCCCGATTTTTTTGGGGTAGTTCCGGCTCAGGGCTACTTTTTCACCTTTTTTCTGGCCCTCCAAAATTGAGGTTCTTACCGGGCCAACAACCGGGCTGAATATGCTAAACTAGTGATGTAAACACTCTCGACTGCTGAATGGTCATAGAGAATCGCTGGCAAGGGGGCTACAACTACCGTGATTTAATTGTAATACACGTTTCAAAACGATGCCGAAGTAACAACATACTGATGCTGGTCTGCAGACTGCAGGCGAAAAACCTTTTAAAATGCGTGTTTTTCTGAATGGAGATCGGATCGATCAGGCTAAGCTAACGTTGTATATACTCCGTCCATACTCACAACAACGGCCTACAGACATAAATAAACCAGCGACTGTATTTGCCATGACACAGACAGTCTGTGGTTTGTACTTGTTTAACATTTGTCTAGTTTCTGAACAGATATGAGGAGCTGTGAGCTCTGAGTGCTAACAGCTAACGGCTGATGTTTTGGTTTTGTGGTTCTCATTGAAGATGACGTCACGGCAGTTTTACGCAGCGTCGCTCCTCCAGCCGAACAGCCGATCGCCCCGCCTACACTGCGTTACTACTAAGCTGTGCTAAGCCGTGCTAGGTCCTGCAGTGGAAAAGCGCCTTTAGACACATTTGGCTTAATACTTTTGATATTTTTATAAGCTTCGAAGCTCAAAAAGTTTGACACAGCCCTACCTGTAATGCAGCTCCAGCTGCAGTGTGGCCCGGTTGGTGCCGGTTTTGGAGGGCTGGAGGATGCAGTCAAACACATTGTGCCGTCCCCCTGCGGCCCGCCCTGGGCTTTTGTTGGGCCCTTTACAGCGAGTGTCATATGCCAGCAGTGAGTGAGACACCAGGTTAACAGACTTGGATCCATTGGAGAAACTCTCAAAGAGTAGCTTCGATTTCATGAAGTCAAACCTTTGTAAGAGAGAAACAAACATAATATTAAGATGGCATCTCTTAAAACCTTTTTAAAAACGTTCAACTATGATGCAGAAATTCAGTCTACTGGGTTGAAATGTTCTAGCTTAAAGCTGTGAGACATGATAATCTTCAAATTGTATCTGTGTTTACTAAAGACCAGCAGCTAGCGTTAGCCTCAGTCCGAGTAGGAGTTTCAAATACTTTTGAAATGTTTGGTCACAGACAGAGATCGTCCCAACACTGTGGGCCAAGGTACTGTCAATATGACCTTGTGAATTTATAATGGTGTTGGGCTGTAGTCATTCTTGCATAATCCGTATCAAATAGAAATGCCTATGCTAAGCTTGCATGTGAATTTACGTGAGGAAAGTCAGCGGCTTTATGGGACCTCAGATTCATTCCAATGTACATCACAAGTATACCCATTTATTAACTTGAACCGATGCAAATCTAAATTGATACAGGGCTGTAAGAAGAGGAAAAGGCCCACCTTGCTAATGAGCGTTTATCTTCTGTGTGTGTTGGGCTGTCCAAGAGCTCCAAACTGACATCCATCATGTCAACCAGGAAAGACATGCTGGTATAGACATCTCCACTTAACACCGTCTAAAGAGAGACACAGTCAGCTCCCCAACAACGACATTTAGAGGACTTAAATCAGTCAAGAAATGGAATGTTAAAACCATCCTTAAAGCTCACCTTTTATGCTATATTTGAACAATATATTATAGGTCCATATCTATACAAAACATGTCCCTGAATTGTTTTGCTCAAAATACCAAACAGATCACCCATTGTAGCATGCCTCATACCCCTCTATTTCAGCCCTGTTACTAAAGTGCTGATTCTGGGTCCAGCCCTTTAAATGTAACCGAGCTGCTGCTGGCCACGCACCTTTGGAGCGTCCGCATGCAAGTAGTGAGCTCTGTGAAGAGAAGGCTGTCTACCAGCAGAAACTCAGCTACACGCTGCCATGATTATATATATATATATATATATATATATATAACAACTTTACTCTAAGTCCCTCTAAGTTGCGGGACGTTACCAGGAGTTCAATGTAAAGCCAGCCCAAATTTTAGTAATGACGTCAAGTTCTCAGCAAATCTGGATCAGCTCCGTTGTACCCCGTTTTCAGAGATGTGGATAAGGAGGAAAAGAGAGAGGGTTGTATTCTCTGACACTTTGTGAGTCTCCTTACACACCGGCAAATTATATTTATGTATAAAAGACATCAAAAAGAGAATTTTGCATAATAGGTGACCTTTAACAGAGACACAGATTGGCAGTGTTTGCATCAGAGATGTGGACATGTTATACAGACTGCAGTCAGCTGTGTGTGTGGTTGCCTGCAATCTCACATAGCTGCTGGGGTCCTGTAAGTTGTAGGGCCGCAGGAAATCCTCGAAAGGCTCTCCCAGGTTGTTCTCCAGCAGGCCTCGGATCAGCTGGTAGTGCTCTAGGTCCAGAGAGCAGTGCACTGACGACAGGCAGCCGTGGATAGACATGTCAGGAACTGCATGGCTCAACTCCCTGAACATAAGGGAACACAAGCAGGAGTTTACAGAACAAGCCTCCTATACAGGCTCTGGGTACACTCAAACCTAATGCTTTCTTACAGAGAAAAGCTACGTCTCATAGAAAAACAGAAACATAAACCATCTCCGGGCCCTGTACAAAACGCTCAAGTTAATCGCAGTAAGGGTGACTCCAGACCAGAGACAAAAGATGCCACTCAATACAGGCTTGTGTCTCGCAGTTGTTATAGGACTCTTAGGCCATGCCAATATTGGTCTATGTGCAAAAAGAATAAGGAAAATATTCAAAATAGTGTCAGGATTCTCATGTTATGTCACGTTTGTAGTTTTGTATGTCTGGTTATGGGTGTTTTCCTCCTTGTATATTGTCTGGTCCTTCTTCCTGTTTTTTCCCCTGTCGTTAGTTTCCCTGGTGTGTCTAATTGTCTGATTGTGTTCACCTGTCGCCCTTGTGTTTCTCCTCCCCTGCCCGGCTGTTTCTCGTCTTGTGATTATCCCTCCCTGTATTTAGTCTTAGCTCTTCCTGTGTTCAGTGTTGGTTCGTCTTTTGTTTGTGACTGAGTTCACCGGTGAGTGTTCTGTTTTGTCCTAGTATTTTTCGTTATCCTTGAAATAAATGGCATTTTCAGCGTTATCTGCATTTGGGTCCTGCTTGCTTCACCCACCGTAACAGTACGAACCAACCAAATATGGGCCAAGCAGATCCTTTTGAGCAGGAATTGTTGGATTTTACCTTTTCTTTGGCTACCTGCTCTGATCGATGGATGGGAGCGTCCAGGGTTCAGCAGCAAGAGGCTGCTCTGGCAGACGCGCGCCAGATAACTATGGAGAAACCAGGCTTGGTGAGATTCTTACCTGGCTGGATTTTGGAGTTCCTCTCGGTGTGTTATCCCCTGCCTGCTAGCCTCAGACATGCTAGCTTTCTGCCTCCCAATTCCCTTTATGACACCACACGCATCGGTGTGGTCCGTTTGGAGTCAACCCTTGCTTCTGCCCCAGCTCCTGGTCCTGTCCAGGAGCCATTCTCTGGAACTCGTCTGGCTTTTGGAGGTCCACGAGGCCTCCAAACGGCTCCTAAAAGAAGGAGTCGCAAGGCCAGGCTAGCAGCCCGAGCCCCAAGTGCCATGGTTCCGGCCCCAGAGGTTCCGGCCCCAGCAGCCATGGTTCCAGACCCAGTTCTGGCCCCAGCAGCCATGGTTCCGGCCCCAGTTCTGGCCCCAGCATCCATGGTTCCAGACCCAGTTCTGGCCCCAGCAGCCATGGTTCCGGCCCCAGTTCTGGCCCCAGCATCCATGGTTCCAGACCCAGTTCTGGCCCCAGCATCCATGGTTCCAGACCCAGTTCTGGCCCCAGCAGCCATGGTCCCGGCCCCAGTTCTGGCCCCGGCAGCCATGGTTCCAGACCCAGTTCTGGCCCCAGCAGCCATGGTTCCGGCCCCAGTTCTGGCCCCAGCAGCCATGGTTCCAGACCCAGTTCTGGCCCCAGCAGCCATGGTCCCGGCCCCAGTTCTGGCCCCAGCGGCCATGGTCCCTCCTCTAGTCCCTACTCTAGTACCTTCTCTAGTACCTTCTCTAGTCCCTCCTCTAGTCCCTTCTCTAGTCCCTTCTCTAGTTCCCTCTCGAGTCCCCTCTCCAGTCCCTACTCAAGTCCCTACCAAAGTGCCGTTGGAGGTTCCGCTGGGGGTCCTGCCAACTCCATGTCCCGTGCCGTTGGAGGCCCCGCCGACGATTCTTCTGCCGGGGGTCCTGCCAACCCTATGTCCTGTGCCGTTGAAGGCCCCGCCGACGATTCTTCTGCCGGGGGTCCTGCCAACCCTATGTCCTGTGCCATTGGAGGTTCCGCTGGGGGTCCTGCCAGCTCCATGTCCTGTCCCATTGGGGGTCCCGCCGACTGCTCTTCTGCCGGGGGTCCTGCCAACCCTAGGTCCCGTGCCGTTGGAGGTTCCGCTGGGGGTCCTGCCAGCTC